GGGGGGGGGCTGGAGCACATCCATGGAGCCTTCCCGTGCGTCCTGCTGCCCTCGGCAGTGGTGCAGGGTTGAGCCCACTGTAATTCGTTTATTAAATTATCCACAAACTCCTTTGTGTTACCCACTCTGCATAAGGGGGGTCATCCCTACTCAGACCCAAAGCCAGGCGTATTGGTCGTGGCTTGCGGGAAGGAGCTCAAGCCGCTCGCAGCAGGTTGAGTTTGACACATTGTCCACACCAGGAGCTGTGCAGTGTATGACCTGAAAGCCTTTGATTCCACCAAAGTCTTCAGTGGACTCTAAAAAAGGATTGAAGTTGCTCTGTCTGCACTTTTTTCCCCTTGACCAGAGCGGTGCCACTCCACCCACCGCACGAAAGGGCTCTGCGCTGGTCAGAGCCATCGAGTGTTTCCAGGAGGAGCAGAAGCCACTGTCCAACATCCTGCCCAGCCCAGAAAAGGCAGGAGCTCTTATCCAGAAAGACTCACCAGGAGATAATGTAAGTAAGGGGGAAAGGGCCCTGGGGGTGCTGGTGGGCAGCAGGATGGCCATGAGCCCGCAGTGCCCTCCCGCACAAGACGCCCCACGGCATCACGCAGGAGTAGCTGGTAGGTCGAGAGAGGTTCTTCTCCCCCTCTAGTCTGTTCTAGTGAGGCCATGTCTGGAATATTGGGTCCAGTTCTGGGCCCCTCAGTTCAAGACGGACAGGGAAACACTTGAAAGAGTCTGGCATAGAGCCACAAAGATAATGAGGGAGTGCAACCTCTCCCTTTTGAAGAAAGGCTGAGGGACCTGGGTCTCTTTAGCTTGGAGGAGACTGAGGGGTAGCCATATTAATGTTTATAAATATGTAAAAGGTGTCGGGAGGACAGAGCCAGAATCTTCTCAGTAATGTCCAATGATAGGACAAGGAGCAATGGATACAAGCTGGAGCACAGGAGGTTCCACAAAAACATTGGGAAACTTTTTCCCTGTGCGGGTGCCGGAGCCCTGGCCCAGGCTGCCCAGAGAGGGTGTCGAGTCTCCTGCTCTGGAGACTTTCCATCCTACCTGGACGCGTTCCTGTGTGACCTATTCTGGGTGATCCTGCTTTGGCAGGAGGTTGGACTTGATGATGTTTCAAGGTCCCCTCCAACCCCTAACATTCTGTGATTCTGTGAAGAGAATAATCTCTCATTGCTATGATGTTAGTCACGTGTACCTGAGTCCCGGACAGTCAAGGTACCCACCAGGACTAGCACTACCACTGTATTTGCATTTGGTTTTTCAGCTGCAGGCAACAAGATCTCTTGCCTTAACTTCTTCTTATGACAGTGTGAAAAGCGAATACCCTACATTCTTGGATGTCCACAACATTTACGCAGACAGAAGCTAACTGTCCCCAGTCCATGCAGCACTCTCCTGTCACCCTTTCTGGGAGTGGAGCACACCTGGTTTTGGGGGGGCTCAGGCTTCTCATCTCCTCACTGTTTGAAAAGTACCACCCTTGAATAACGGGCTGATCTAAAATTTCACAACAAAAAAAAATTGCCCCGATGGAAGCTCGTTATTAGTTGAGTGCCAAGTAGTTCAGGTTTCCTGAATGGTTTTTAGGATCCAAGAGAATTTTGACAGGATCCTTGGCACACACACACCAGGGCAGGATCTCAGGGCAGACCTTCCCAGCACAGGAAACCTGAGGCTTCCTGGTTTTGTGGATTTAAAGAAAAGTGCTGTAGGTTTACAGCTGCAACATGACTGGAGAAGCCAGTCTTGCACAAAGCCTGTCCAGCAGTGACAGGCCTGGTGCGACCCAGAACTGGGGCGCTGGCATATGAGCAATTGCTCCCTGGAGCTGGCATTGCCAACATCTTTATGGCTGTTAGCAATTGTACCGACCAGCTGCAGCCGCCTGGGAGCAGGTTTCCTTTCAGAGACATAGTTTATCATTGCTTCCAAAATCAGATTTTCTTAGAATTCTTTGTTCGTGGGGAATTTGGAAAAATCAGGCTTTCGTCTGAAACTCTCTTCTCTGGGCTCCCTTTCTCACGCACGTTTTCTGCAGATGGGAAAGCCTGATCTGGCCAATTCTTTCTAAAATTTTTATTATGTAGCGGTGCCCTCAGCTGTTTCACACTGCTGCACACTGCTCTAGTTCTTTGCACTCCCCCATGCTTGTGCTTTGTGCTTGTGAGGCATCCAGGGGCTCTCTCTCCTGAAGTGCCCGTTAGTATTAGTCTGGATTTTCATACACAAGTGGTCCTGCATTTGCCGTTTCCAGTTTAGACTACAGCTGTACGTGCACGTATTTTTAAGGCACTGGGCAAGATCTGAACCCATCTTACCAAACCTGTATCAAGTAAAAATGTAAACTCATTGAAGTTATTTGAGAATAGCCAGTGGTGTCTGTCATTTTTTTTGTCAGGGCTTGCATATGAATGGGGTTGGGGACACTGGAAAATCAATTAGCTTCTTAGGGAGAGGCTAATAAAATCTTACCTCCTTCAGTCTGTAAAACTGAGTGTTTAACATTGCCTACTAATAAACTGGCATTTCACCTTTCCTGTAGCCATTCCAGAGAACTTTGAGTTTCTCACCCCAAAGAAGCCAGGAAGAGCCTACAGATTTTACTGGCTGGGGACACTGCTGTATGATTTCATCACCGGTGCTCAAAATATTTTAACCTTCATACGTGCAGCTTGTGCATTTTAGAAAGAAAATAAAAAATATGGGCTAGCCTTTCTGCGATGCAGTTTCATTGACATTACTGCAGTTACATATATTTACATGCTCTGGGAATTCAGTTTTCTTTCTCATTTCTTGTTTAAAAATGCAGTTTATAAATCCTGTGCTCTGTTGCAGTTATATGATGTCCCTCCCAAAAGAGAAACTGACAGTTTAGAAAATGAATCTCAGAAAAAGTGCTGGGGCCATTACAATACCTTGCCAAATCCTCGGAAGTCAGAATGGATTTACGATATTCCAGTGTCACCTGAAAAAACAGGATTGAAACAAAACCTTTCTGGTCATTCCTTGGAGAACCAGGTGCTGTACGATATACCACCAGCCAGGTACAAGGCGCTAACAGCAAATACTGAAGGCAAAGTTGTAAACCAACAATTATATGATGTTCCGCCAACGCAACGGAAATTAACCTTTCCAGACATCCATCTTTACGATGTTCCATCCTCACGAGATGTGCTCCTTTTGCCACAAAATGGTAGCTGTGATGTGCCCCCAAGTCTCCTGACTCCAAAGACTGAGAATCAGATCTCCAAAGGGAATGTTTATGATATTCCAAAAGGTTTGCCCACTGCTGCGCAGTCCAAGAAAGAGATGGAAAAAACTAGAGAGAGTTCTGGAGACCAAGCATACGGTGCCCCTCCACAGCTCTCAAGAGATGCCAGATTAGAACAAGACAGATTATCTGTTTCTAGCATGGGCAGCAGAAGCAACACACTCTCTACATCCTCAGACTCTTCTGCTGAGTCTTTTCCTATGTCATCATCAGAGGAGCCTGCCAAAGAAATTAAACTGGACCTTGACGCAGCCATAGAGACACTGACTAGATTGCAGCACGGTGTATCCAGCTCAGTTGCAAGTTTAATGATCTTTGTGAGTAGTAAATGGAGATTACCAGAACACCTAGAGAAAAGCATTGAAGAAATCCGTAGAGCAGTTGATCACATAAAAGTATCACTGGGAGAATTCGTGGCCTTCGCCGAAGTCGTAAAGGGAAATGCCTCTTGCCTCACTGATAACAACCTTCAGACCAGAATTAAAAAACAGCTAGAAATTCTTATGAACTCATTCAAAATTTTAACAGAAACAAGAGAAGCTCTAAACAACTGCAGCTGGTCGCTAGAGGTGCTGGTCCTCAGGAAACCTCAGAACAACCCAGATGATCTCGATCGCTTCGTCATGGTAGCCCGCACGATTCCAGATGACATCAAGAGATTTGTATCCATCATCATTGCCAATGGAAAGCTTCTCTTCAGAAAGAATGAGAAGGAACAAGAAACAAAGCAATCAAAAGCTAATCCAGAACACAAAATGGCAAAACAAATCACAGTGCCAAGAGGAATAGAACTAGACTCGCTTCAAAGAAATACTCCTGATAAACCCAACCAAAGTCAGGTCTCTTCTGAGAAACCAAATGAAAATGCCACTGAAGATTGTGATTACGTTCAGTTACAGGTTAGTATAACTGGGGTTAACTGCCTGTAGCCTTGATCCCTCGCAGACGTTTAGCTATTAGCGCTATTTATGTTGACACCAGTGGCAAATGCAGTTTGCAGTACCTCCTCTTTTCCAGACCTTATGGGAATTCAAGATTTTGTTAAGAGTGCGAGATGGCACATACAGAATGATCAGTACTCTTAAGTAATAGAGAGAATTGGCATTTGAAAATTTACTCAGGTGGCCAGCCAGCCAGCACTGAGGGAAAAAAAACGTAGCTTGCCTGTTTAAATGCATTTGAGAGACTGCTTTCAGCTGGGAGTTAGCAATTTGTTTCTTCTCTTTTGAGCAGTAGTTCTCTTCTTGCAGTACATTTTGTGTGTTTGATTCTAGCATGACCAGAGAAGAGATGTTAACCTTCTAACTTGAGGGGTATTGGAAAGTATGCTTTTGCAGAAAATTTTGATTTAACAAATAAAACTCTTACTGTGAAATATTACATTTGATAGAAAAATTTTGGATCTTTCTTAGAATCATTCTCCTCAGAATTACTGAAAAGCCTACTGAGAATATAATTCTCTTGATTTCACAAAGGAATGCTGGCTTGCCCTTAGAATTTAGGAAATGTTATGTTTTGTTGATGTTGGTTTCAGTCTTGGATCCTAGAAAACTACAGTTGCTTCAAATAAATGTACCGTTGTTGTCCGTAATATGAAGGCTGCATAGCAAGGAGTTGTCTCCCCCAAAGCAACAGGAAAACACATTTAAATATTTTATATAAAACATTTCAACTTTGCTTTCATTTTGATTTCTAACAGGCACAGAAAATCATTTCAGGTAAAGAAGTAGCAAAGAAGAGTACAGACTCAAAACCAAAGGTATTTCTGATTTTGAAAACTATCACTTTTATAAGGACACCTAGTCCTTGATTTCTGTGCTTGCTAAAATTCAAAATAATTTGCATTTGGACACAAATATATATACGTAAGAGATCTATTTGTTTTATCGTAGCTCATTTTCCCAGCATTAGTTCTTAGAATTACTGCTGAAAACCGGTGCAAAACATTTATTTTCCTCAAATGTAAGGAACCACTCTAGTGTAAAGTCATACCATTTATTTGCTTACCGTGTGTATAATCTGAGATAAGACTGAGCGTTAGTATTACAAAATATCTTGTTGTGCACTGGTAAAATGATTGACTCTCTTGTTATTGTGGAGTTTTAATCATTCAGAATCCTCATGAAGTCAGCACCATTAAAGATCAAGTCTGAATGTTTTGCACCATCTGAAAGCTTGAAGACTGTAGGATTGATGTTTAGCTACAGCACTTCGTGTGTTATCCATTATTAAAATCACATTCAGTAAAATTTCATTAGGGAGGGGAAAAAAGCAATCAGGAGAAAATACCATTTTGACATCCAGTACCTTATGGAAAGAGAAATGATTGTAAAAGCCTCCTAGGCTGAGCCAATTTGGAGACTATTAGCTAACAGAACTCCCTCTGAGTGAAGAAACACGTGAAGAATATAGGTTAGAGCAAATAAGGAAACAATCAAGAGTGCCACCAAGCTGAGACTATTTTTTTTTAACCTTTTTCCAGGTTCTACCATCTGCAAAAAAGACTGTAACACAAAGCCAGCAGGACTCTGCAAGGAAAATCTCTCTCCCAGAACACTGCAAGCTGTGTTTCGGTGCACTTCATAAGGCAATTGGTGTATTTACTAGTAGTCTGAGCAACAACCAGCCACCTGAAGTCTTCATATCCCACAGCAAATTGATCATTATGGTGGGACAAAAGCTGGTGGATTCTCTCTGCCAGGAAACTCAAGAAAGAGATGCTCGGAATGACATTCTCCACAGCAGCAGCCGGTTTTGCAGCCTCTTGAAGAATCTGGCTCTCGCCACCAAAAATGCTGCAATACAGTATCCAAACGCTGATGCCAGGAGAGAACTTCAGGATCGAGCTGAGGAGCTGTCTAAGTACACACAGCAGTTCAGAGCAACGATGGAATGAAAGCCCCTTCGCTGTTCTTACAAGTTTTCCCTTGTTGTTGCTCCTGTGGCACGTAGCAGCCGAGGTGGGCAAAAGCAGCTCAGTGACACCAACTTTCAGTCACCTCCAAGAACTCCTGTCAGGCAGTTCCCGGGGGGCTGGTGCACTTTTAGCAGGTGAAGATCCAAAGAACAGCAGGTGCAAAAGAGGATTTGTAGAATTAAATCTGTACTTTCTTCTCCATTGTTCAGATCCTGCCTGGAAATATCATCATATTAGTGGCTGGGTGTTAGAGCAAAATTATTTTATTATCTGGCTGATTTCTTACTTTTTAATTTCTATTATAGGTCAGATTTTTTTTTTCTATTCAGCTTTGTGAATTCTCTCTTTAAATTTTTCTGCACTGTAACTTATCCCATTGTTGATTGTTTCCCGAGGACTTTACACAAAATTTGTAATTACAATGTGGGGGGTTTTTTTAAAAAAAAAAAACAGCTGCAAAGGCAGTTTTTGTTTTTAATATACAAATGTGATGAATGTATTACGGGACAAAATCTATGAGGTGCTTGCCCATAGCCTGGGTGTCAATGCGAAACGCTCCAGCTGGTATTTGGGCACAGCAGAAAACAGACTTGGAGGAGTCCTGGCTGCGATAAATCTGCAGGGAGCACACCTCGGTCATCCTGTGCCGCGGCCTGAAGCTCCTCAGAGCATCGCTCCAGCCGAAACACGATTTATTTTAGCCGTGGCACGCGCAGAGGCTGTGTCAAGCTCTTCCTGCTCGTTCCTTTTCGCCCCACACGCGCTGGATCTGAACCGCAGTGCTGAAGGGCTCCGTAACTGTGCTGGGAGACTGTAAGCCTGTTATTTGTATAGTTCCTAACTAATTTATTTTGGAGATTTTTAACCCGAAACGTCAGAGTCTGGCCTTTCTTGGCCCCGTCGCGGCCGTGTCTCTGCCCTGAAAACGTCTGTGGGGAGTTACAGCCCCTCGCTCGGGGGAAAACCAGCTCCCTCGGCTTCTTGGCAGCCGCCGTGTTTGTACCGA